TATTTTTGCCTAATTGCACTTTTCCCCGTCCCGGCATTCTGGTTCAATTTTATTAACCTTTAGCTCTCGACGACGAGGCGCTGCGCGAACGCTTAATCTGCATTGACAAGTTAAAATCCAAAATAAAGAATGTTCGGGCTGAGCTAGAAGAAGAACGTCGAAATGGCGACAAAGAGGTACGACATGGGACCTAACATATGCACTTCCTGTACAGGCAGAGTTTCTGTGCGTGTTACACCTCAACCATGTTTTGACAGAACATACTTTAAATTTTAGTCCAAACGGCAAAAGCTCAGGGCGCCGAAGATCCACAGGCTGCGTTCAACTCTTTATGGTTTGGTGAGTACTTCGGTGTACAGTGTACTTGCTTAGCGAGTTCGATACATTTGAAGCACACTCACACAAATATCACATCTTTCGACTTAGATTTCTCTATCTCAATCATACCAGCCTTTTTCTTTCAATATTAATACGTGACTTTGCAAAAACAAAGTCAATCATAGAAATAAAATCCTGCTTAATCGCTTCACTGGCAATGGAACACTGATTTCCGTGGATGTCGTAATCGCAATTGGTCCCTTATCTGCGTCATTTCTAGTTTTATTCTGTTTTACTGTTTCCATGCCATCGCCTACAGTAAACACTTATCCGGAGCGCTCTTTAAAGTGGTTCAGTTGTGACATTAATCCATTTGCGGTTATAGTTTGATGTCAGCCGATTTCTTCTCCAAGCGAAGGTAACAGAAGCCTGGTTTACCAGTCTAGTTGAACTTTAGCCAATACGTTTTACATGTATTTGTGATTTCGCCTTCGGCATATCAGCAATTTAACGTTGCCTCGTGGTTTTGCCGCTTCAACGTTTGCATTATTGATAAGAGTTTCCATCGAAGATTGTGCACAGCTAACTCAGCTACCTTTATTAGATGCAGTAGCATTCAACGCACGGGCTTCTGAGTCTTGCATAGTTAGTCCGTTTACTAGTCATAATCTTAGCCTAAAGTTTCGCACGGTCCTGGTTTGAAAGTCGGTGTTATCTTTTAGCTTTGAAAGAGGTGCACATTTACAGCAGGAATCTACACATACAATCAACTCACCTAGTTTTTTATCGCTCATAAATAAGCGATATTATAAGCTTACCAAATCGATCTTAGTTTAAATGATGCAGGTCCTTTAGTGCGGTGTTGTGAGTGCTGCTCCGTGCTCAACCGATTGAGGGTACGAAGGTCCAGTTTGCAGCCTGGAGGCTGGGGTAACAGTGCCTGATGACAGAAAGTCAACAGGAACGGGCCATTAAGGTGTCATTAATCTTTGTCAGCAGGACATTCCTGCCTATTAAACTGTTTAAAAGTTGCCAACGTGAGTGTAATGTTTACGAAAACGCAAGTTGGAAGTTGGAGGCTGAGAACAGATTGCTAGGGAATGCATGATTCTTGCATCAAATCTGAAGGCAGCTTTTTTGCTGCACCGAATGACAGTCCGGACGTCTCTAAGAGCTATGCCCTTTGTCTAGCTCACTGCATAATAGGCGCAGAATGGCGATTTGCGTACAAAGTAGTTTATAATGAGGCAGATTTGCACACCATAGGCCACCACTCTCTCCTTCCTCACCCTCCTGGACTTGGTGACATGACCAAGTCAAGACGACCAGAAATGGGTTCGTGCGCGATGGCTGGCAATGCTAAACAGCCGGCTACATGTACTTGACAGAACCTGGTCCGCGCAGGGCGCGCCAACTTTTCACATAACACAGAGGGCAGATCAGGTCAAACCTAAATGAGTGCCATGGAGTCCACAGTAAGCAGGAGCCACTGAACCCACCTTTAAGTCCTCCAACCAGTTATGCTGTAAACGTCAGCAGGAGTGAACTCACTGGTGTCATCTTCTAATTTGGGAGGGGGCAGGTCTGAGTAATTTTGATCTCTTTTACATTCTGTCGCGTAGACCGTAACATGTCGCGGAAAATGTCGCATTACCGGGCTACCGGGTACATGCTTATCTTTGTTTTTTCCGTTGGTCTGTCTTGATTTGACAAAATACTATATGCATATTTTTTGTCCACAATTAAGCAAGCTGAATTAGTTCTTCAAGCTCCCCGACTGCCGCTTTTCCTCACATCTACTGACGGTCGTACCTACTGTCTTCTCATGACATCTGAACGCGAACGTATGGAGTGGAAGAAGCGTATAACACAGGCAAAGCTCGCCCGAGATCCGAACAAGGTTCTGGAAAAGCGGCCTAGCTCCAAAAGGTTGAGTTCCCTGCGGACAATTGCTAACCAACTGCCTTCATTCCGACAGACGCCTAGGTCGAAAGATCAGGTTACTCGCTACACAACCAGTGAAGTGACTTCCCTTATCAATCACTGCAAGACTGTGAGTTCAATGGATCCTTATTTCGCTTAACAGCTGAACAGCTTTTTTTAAATGTCGTTTCATTTCGATTCACTGTAACATGACAACATTTATGTTGCTAATTTTGGAATTTTGGATCAAATTTTAGTTTTTTGTAGGCTATATCGATGCTCAGCTGTCTGAATATTATCCGTGAATATGGATTTAGCATGATGTAGGCCCTAAAACGACGTTGTTTTCAAATGTAGTTTAAGTCTCCTGTGCTTTATTCTTCTTGATATTTCCCTTGGAATGCACCATTTTCGATGGAACGTTTCATACTTAAGTCCTTACGTTTCCCATTCAACAACCGATAATTTTTGCCGCACTACTAGAGGAATATTAATATAAAGGTAAAACGAGCGCCCGCTAATTAGTGCAGAAATGGCAAACTTTAAGTCTCATTATGGACCGGTTTTTTCGTCTCCATAAGTAACCAGAAAAGTGTTTCATTTAAAGTATATCTCCTTCCTTTTGCACTTACAAGGTGGTTCCCCTCAATCGACTTGGAAAAATGATAATCTCAGGTAGGAAGAGCCTGCTATTCTCCACTATGCACTCTAATCCTCACCGCATCACTTTTGGAGGCACAAGTATTTAATCG